TGCGCTGTTGCCCTCAACCACACTTGGAGTGGGGGTCGTCCGTAGGTGGATTTTTGATACGGATCTTGCCCGTGTTGAGATTGCGCTGGAACCCCCATTCCCTATACTACTTTTAGGCCTTCATTTGCGTATTTTCCATATACTTTTCTATAAAAAAAAGCCTGACAAAGCAACATTCTAACACAAATGCAACAAAACATCTTTGTACAATTGAAAATACCGCTACAAACAGGCATTTTATTATAGTACATCAGTCTGTAACTGTTTTGAATGTTAACCCAAAACAAAAATTGGGATCAAAACTCATACGAAAGTCTAGTTTTTGGCGCTTTTTGCCATTATTGCTCATTGTTGAAAACAATTTCCTCTTAATATGATTTATCGTAATTTTATATTGTGAAATTTGGCGCTGTTTCGCATCTGAGCTTCAAAACAGGCAGTCTCCTAATCTGAAGAATTTATTCTATTTTAAAAAGTTTGATTAAATTCCACTCTAAATCTCACAATGCATTCAGATAAATATTTTATATATCCTTTTATTGTTTGTTAATACGACCATTCATGGATTTTAAATTCTTTTGTAAACCAACTTTTGCGTATAACAAAAAACAAAAACAACGCTTACTCGATATTACTCGAAGATTACTGTACTCAACTGGTTGACGATCTCTTCCTCACATAAATATACTTTATTCGAAACTTGCCCTTAAAATATTTATTCAGTATTTACATATATTTATTTATTATTATTTTTGTACAAAAGGCTGGCGCCTCAGCTGCCAAGTGCGCTGAAAGCCGTTCACGTCTGAATGGCTGCATTTTTGTCAACATTAAAGACCGTTAACACATATATATTTATACTCTTTTTCTAAACGTTAGCGCTATATAAACAATTCAAAAAGAGAGAAAAACAGTCGTAGGTTGATAAAAATAGGTTTTTAAAGAATATAAAAGGTATTTTAAGAGAGTTAAAGCCACAAAACTCGAAAGAATTAAAAAGAAAATAACGGGACAAAAACTTTCGCGTGGTTTGCTACGGATGATTTCATCTTGTTGTACTAGCCATTTCTCTCTTGTATTTCTGAGCGTTATTATTAGCGCTATAACTTCTCATTCCTTTTGATATAAAATCGCTCTAATATAAATTATCATTTGAGAATTAAAACTAGAGAGGATTTTTTTGTACTTTACATGAATAGGCAAAGAGTTAAGTAACACCATGCGAACACAGGTTTCTTGAACGAAAGCGATGTCCTGCTTCAAAAATACAAGTTTACAACTCACCGTTTTTTTCGCGAGCAATCCATTCACACACATGAAAACAAGCACCAGTATTAGTCTAAATTCCATCTTCCTCGACTGAAAAAATGAGAATGATTAGCGTCGAAAGTCACGAAACGATCAACAATATACAAACTACTCCTCCGGGCAATGAAGTGGAAAAAGTTTCTTCAAAGTTTATATAGTTATTCAAATTATTCTTTATTCAGAGTATTACGTTAGAGAACACGATTGGCTTTTTATGCCATGTGACGTCACGAGAATATAATATCTAACAAATTTGTATTGAATAGGACATACATGCTGTCAAAATTGACAAAATTGGAAGAGGCCGATATGCCGAGTCCAATTTGGCAGTTTATCATCCCAAACTATACTAGACTGATTCCATAAATCATAGTTTTCCCTAAAAAGATTGCGAATTGAAACGATCCAAATAATTAGACAGGAAAGAGAATTTGAAAATAATACGATAGCTACTTATATGAGATTAAAGAGGGATGATACAATCATATTATTTATCATTAAGAATATTTATTTTTGAATATTATGTCGTCTGGAAAGGGCAAGAAATTTTTTAACATGCCTTGAAAACAGCCACAAATGTTTTTTTCTTTCTATAGCTCGAAGAATCCGTCAAAGTTTAATTTATTTTGGTGCTAATTAGAGTTTAATGGTTTAATATTTCAAGATGCATGATTAACTGAATCACAAAAATCGCCCCGGTGGCCTGACCAGGGGAGGAAAGCCTAAACTAATGATTGAGAGAGAGAAAAACACACACACACACACAAAACGAAAAAACAAAGCAAAAACAAAACGAAACAAAACAAAAATGGTAGAATTGAACGTAAAATGGAAGTGCTTTGAAATTTAAATATTAGGATCAAAACGAAGTTAGGATTAGTTATTCATCAAATTTTATTTGATTTAGTTTTTATTTCGACATATGGAATAACTCGGTGTCAAATAGATGTTGTTAGGTGTTAACGAATTGGTTTTTATCAGTTCTATCTTTTATATTTTCTATCATTTAGTTTTTTTCTTTGCCTTTTATTCCTATTGTTTTTCTATAGTCAGTTTTCAAGTGGTCGTGAGCCAAACAAGTTTTCTAACTCGTTTGAATTCGATATTTCTAATCGTAATCCAACACCGCGAATTTTAATCCTAAAACGTTGAAAAAAGATGCCTATTTTCCCGTCTATCTAGGTTTCAAAATCTATTTACATAGACTAGGTTACTATAGTAACCCACAATAATGGCCAATTTTGTTACCAAGCCACATCCATGTGAACAAAGAATTCTACTTATCGCTATCTTAAAAAAGATCAATGCTACTSTTTTCTCAGTCTGAGTAAATATCCTTAGTTTTAGTAATTTCAGCTGAGGGTTTGATAACGAGCGGGCGGCCTCTCTTGAATTTGATGTATTGTTTTGATATCAGATTTGATGGTCTCGACGGAGCAGAGTAAACTACAAATACGTACTTGACTTTTTAGATGAAACTTTGAGAACACAGCATGCCCAGAGCACTTTGTCTTACCGCGCATGCTCGAGAAAATCATTGTCGAGCATGCGCAGTATGAAATAAGGCTCTTCGTTTCATCTTCTGGTACGAGAAACGTACTACTTCATGTAAGACTAATAAAAGAGGGTCTGGGATAATTTTTTATCATTTTATTATTATCATTATCATCATTATTATTAACCAAGACTATGAGACTATTACTTTCTCTTCTGCCGACCAAAAAATGCTCCTCAGGGGAGAGGATGGGCATGGCATTTGTAGTGTATAGTTGTTCTTATAATTCTATAATTGAACTTTTCCAAGGGAGAAATAAATAAAACGATTTGGAGCCTTTGGTTTTTGAATATTTATAGCATTTATTAACAATTTTCTTAAAAATGAAAAATTAATTGATTTAATTGATTTCACATTTGAATCGCTAATTATTTGATAAATATTTTTGGAATTAACTTGTCTTACAAAATATAAATACAACTTTAACTTTGTGATTCTTAATTCATTTTTTTAAACCAATAAAGAATAGCATTTTTAAAGTGCTTGCATATTATTTGCCTCACACTTGCACGAGTTACTATCAAGCGCTAAATTGTGTTTTTGGCACATTTGTTTCATGAATTCAGCGCACTCACACTGACATGTGGCAAGGTTCCACTCCTGGTAGAGAGGACATTTGGCTTGACCCTTGCAAGTACACTGACATGTAGAGCGGTCATAGTATCGGTTGATGCTTTGGCAGTATGAATCACTGAGATTGCAATTGCAGGTGCACTTTCTAAAAATCTGGTTGCTGTTGCAGTCCTGTGGTTTGGCGATACAGGCTTTTCCACTACACTCAATGTCGTTGAACATAACTACACTCTCTTCCTAGTAGTTCAAACAAAGAAAAAAAGTGAAAATATACCAATGCGAGGAAAAAAGGGAAGGAAAAAGGGAAGGAATAAGGGAAGGAATAAAGCGAAAAAAGCCGGAAAGAAAGAAAGAAAGAAAGAAGCTAAAATGAACGAAAAGAAAATATTTCCATATTTTCCCAATTAAAACGAAAAAAAAAAAAAATTACCTGCGAGACCGCTTGGAGTGAGCCCACACGAGTGGATAGCTTCTCGTACTTTACAACCACTTTTTCTCTGGTTTTGACAGCACATTTTTGTACTGAAGTAACCCCTGGTCCAAGACATCGATTGAGCATCACGTATCGCGGTCCAGTTGTGATGAAATGGCTGAGTACAGGGATTTTAACGGGAATTGGCCGAGGTTTACATAAGATTTCTTCCGTGTTTGAAATTGTCCTTTGATCTGGAAGATAAAAGTGTTCTCTTGAGTTAGTTTTGTTTGGAGCCGACTGACCGACCGACGGGCCAACATAAATACCCGACCAACCGACCAATGAATCGAATGCAAGCGACTGAGCAACTTCTACTGTTCACTTAAATAACCTTAAAAAGATGAAACTTGGCAGATAGAGCATGACGAGGCAACAAATTAATCCACCGACCGAATCGTTCGACCAATCCGGCGATCGATGGATCGATGATGTTTCATAGTAAACTGTAACACTTACTGTCGATTGTTTGGACATTTTCGTCTTGATCTTGAAAAAGAGCTATGTCTGACTGACGCACCGAAAGATCATCAATGACATCATTATCATAATCGATAAGGAAAGGATTTGTCTGTTCAAGAAAAGATGAAAACTCAGTGCTCAATCTTTATCAAGGTAAGAAAATAAAAACGAAAACATATAGCCAAACCGAAGATATCCGGAAATACGGAAATTTCGTGAAAAAAGTTTATGGTCAGTTCACAATGCTGCCATGTTTGTTGCGTGACTGTTGGGCTGCTTCTGCATTAGCAGAGGCGGGTAATGTAAATTGCCCCTCCCATCCCCACTAAGTTTGCTTTTGGCACCAAATYTTTATTAATTCATGTGGTATTCCAGTKAATTTGGCGGGAAAATGGTACATTCCTCCCCCCTGYCCCCGCCCCACTTTTTATTTTTTAGATGGAAGCTTTTAGAATAGACGTGAATTTAGATAATGTCAGCATTGGTAACCTTTTTTCGTCGTTGATATTTTTGGTTTTGAAACCAAAGGTACACGAACGACAAAAACTACTTACAACAAAATGAAATATTAAGAGTAATAAATAATAATAATAATAATAATAAAGATAAACAAAATTATATTTAACACAAAGGTGAGATGTTTATTTGTTTTGTAACCGGCTCACGTGATAAAAGCTGGGAAGAACGTCGAAAGATATGATATAGAATTTGGCACAGTGAAATGTTGTCATTCAGTGTTCYGTGAAATACCATACTAATTTCCGTTTATTTATTGCCTATCTGAGAACTAATCTAAGATATCTTCCTATCCGTAAAGTTTAAAGTTATTAACTCACCCTTGTTCTGGCTGAGACGACGTGCGAGTAAAATGAAAAGGCGAACAGAATTAAAGACAGTTTAGGCATCATTTTCATGCTAACGTGGTAATGTAGAAGAAAATTGCACTCCTCTTAACAGGACTTAATGTAAAAAGTAACAAGCCTTGCCCAGTTTTCCAAGAGTTYATATATTGTTGGAGTCATTATTTATTCATAAAATTTTTGACGGCCATTGTAAGAAAGACAGCTTGGCTTCAGGGCAGAAAGAGAATGAGATTAAGCGGAAGTCAAAATCATTTCGCTTTGGTCTTTTTGTCGTTGGAAGCCAGCTTGTTTTCATCCTTACTGACTGCAGAGTAAAACGCTTATCACAAAGCTTGTTATAAAAGAATATTTTAAAAAGTTAGGAAAGAAACACTGCCTTATTTATGCGTAAGAGTTTTATTTTTAAACAAGCGTGTCATGCCATCGCTAATTRAAAATTTTCTATTAGCCCGATCAATTTTTCAATTAAGCTTTCTTAAATGAGGAATTATAAATTGATGCTGATTAAACTGTCGGTAAATTCTGCTGGTCCAAGACGTCTATAATAGTAATAATGATAATGATAATAGCTAACAGACATCAAAATGATGTGTGCTGTTTAATTA